ATATATCAGAAATCCATTTTTCATACCCTTCCTTTCCCTTTTCATTCAGAACCACCAAGATCATGTTGATAGTTGGGAGTATCTAAGATTAACCTAAAAAGACAGAAACCTTACTAAAAAATGTAGCAGTCCTGACTATTCCATCACAGGACGGGGATGGACATGGGATTTATAACACTAGATGCTGTTTGGAAGAAGGAACACAAGGAACCTTCCAAAAATAGGGTGGGGGTGCTGACTTGTGCACAGAGGCCGTTTTCCATCCTAGTAGTCCTGTCATTGTTATCTCCTGAAAGTGGGCTCAGAAGTTGGACTGGAGTTGCTGTGGCTTTACCCTGGAACTCGGAATGGCACAGAAAAGGAAAGGCCTCAAAGGGCCACACAGGTTAAGTGCCACTTCAGAAAAATCCTGAAAAAAGCAGATTTAAGGCAGATATGACTGTGTGTTCACGACTTTATATGAACTCAGATCGTCCTGTTACAAGTTGCTAAGAGGCACTGTTGAAAATGTTTCAGAGGACAATAAGCATATCCATGAGCTTCCACTAATATATGTTAAAGCAGAGTTGAGTTACAAATATTACCCTGCTTAATGACAACACTTTAATTCCCTTCAAAGCAGATGCTTTTTGTTACTTCCTCAATGGTGGAGTTGATCAGGTTCACTGGCATCCTCTCATCCACCCCTCTTCTGAGCCACAGCAAATAAGGTTAGAAAAGTTGGGGAAGTCATAGAGAGTAAGTATTGTGAAAGTGTGCTTGGGTACTTCCTGTATGCCTGGCACAATGCTACACATTCACCTTGGTTATTTCCTTAAGAAAATTCTGCAAAAGTCGGACATTAGTATTACCATTTAACAAACAAGAAAATAAGTCTGTATTAAGTTCCTTCAAGTCACCTTGTTTATGTTACACAGTTGGGAAGTCCTGGATCTTAAGAGGTTACAGATATGACACAGGAGGGGTTTCCCTAGCCCTGGGAGTTCCTTGATGCCAAGTCACATCAATCACATTATGTGGGACCAGAGAATGCTCCAGTCAGTGAAAGTCATTTGTTAGCTCTGCCACTCAGTGCTTTGGTTTTTCTTCTTACTGAGGGACAAAGATCTTGTCCTGGCAGGGAATGCCCTGGAGTATGAGACTAACTTTCTGTCACTGTTGGCTCTCTTCTCCCTCTAATTTCTAATGCTGATTATGAGCCATCCCCTACTTCAAGGCCAAGGCACTAGTCTAAAATGAAATCCTTTGTATCGGCTTATTTCCCTCGCTTCAGTCTGTTTCTTCGACAGAAGGTTCTGGGACTGAGTTGTTTGAAACTTAGAATTGTGTGTTTGCTATTTTACTAAGGGGGGAACTCATTCTAGTTCTGCCTCTAATGGCCACTGTCTTGCTACTCCTCCCTTGGTTCTTGACTTGGCAGCCAAGCTACTCGCTCACTCCTTCTCTCCCTAGAACGCATTCTCCACATATCCCCATCCCGTCATTGTTCTGCCCCCTTCACCAGGCTGTCCCTATGTATTTTCTAGGCTTAGAGTTTTATTGGCATACAGACCTGTCCACTGGCTTATGTATCCTCTATGGTAGCGTTTATGCTACAAAGGGAAACTGAATAGTTGCAACCAAGGCCATCCAGCCTAAAAAGCATAAAATATGTGCTATCTAGTCCTTCCCCCCAAACACTGAAACCTGGCATAGACTTTTCTAGCTTGTGATAATCAAGTTCCTCTCATTGAT